TCCTAGGGCCAACCCCTTTCTCGAATTCAGCCTTATCATTTTCATCTTCAAACTCACCATCGGAGGTTTGATTTGCTTTCTTCCACACTCGTTGCTTCCGTAGAAGAAAACCCATGAAAGAACACACCAACACAGAAAATATTGCAACTGAAAATGCTATAGTAGCCTGTACTTTTCCTTGTGATTTGGAGCTCACAGTTTCAGGAGCTGCTCCTGGTAGCAATGTTGACGAACTCTTACCTGCTAGGGTTGAGTTGAATGACCATGATAGAACCCGGTGTACCTCGATGGAGCTACCAGTAGACGCTGAGAAGCCAATTGCCACCTCCTCTGGCAAGCATAGTTTCATGTCAATACTTGTGTTTATTCGGTATGAGGTTTCACTGATCCAGAGAATAACTGACAATTTCTCTGTGCTATTCTCATAGCTGATCTCCGCGGTCATTGTGGTACCTAGTGTAAGTTTCTTATCAGGTGAGGTCGACACAACCGAAACAATGGAGTTGACATCGATACCGACATGGTTGTCATCGTCGTCCACTCGCAGGTTCCTGAAGGTGTCAAACTCGACCGCCACAATACGGTCACTACCGGTTGCATTCTTGTTGTTCCTGCCATTGAAAAGTCCCAGATTCCCACCATAGCTCCCCAGAGGGATGCCCGACGGGTAGTGCCCAAGGAAGAAGGCCATCCCATCGGCGCTGTAATCCGTGTTGACCGGCCTAATTTGGAAGGAGAAAGAAGTGTTAAAGCTGGCCACCTCACCGGTGGCCTTGTCCCAGAGCGGCACCGGCTGCGCGTACCATACGCGACCGATGCTGTGGTTGTTGCCTTCACTGATATCGTTCATGGTCAGCTCCATGAAAGGGGCGTGGAAGAAGGCATCACCAGCGCAGGCAATATCCGCATCTGGGGCGCAGTAGGAGCCGGGATCGGAGAAGTTGAAGCTGAAGGAGAGTGAGGTAGCAAAAGGGACATGAATGGAAAACAGTAAGGAGCAGAAGCTAAACACCATGATTACAAAGTGGTGAGAACTCATTGCTGCTGCCACTGTTGGTGTTTGGGAGGACAACTACATTTGGTAGGAGAATTGAACAGAACGAAACCAAAAGCTTTTGCAATGGAGCCGGCCAGCAAGGCCTTGTTTTCTACATGGTAGCCTGGACCTTTTCAAACCACCCAAAGCTTGCAACAATATTCCAGCTGGTCCATTTGGCAGGTTTAGAAACTGCAAAGACGTAAAGTAATACTAATAACCTGATCGTGCAATGCAGCTGAGCACCCAAACAAGCCATACAAAAACTACAAACAAACAAATAAAAAAACATGGGCAGTGCAGTGTAGAGGTGGGAGAAAATTCGCCATTTGGGAGTACTTCCTGCATTAGTGCTTAACCCCGTTTTTCCATGGACAAACGTTCGCTGGCTTGTTAACTTGCAACCAACTTTTGTTAAAACCTGATGAATGAAAAGAATTTTCCGACGCCTTATAAAGAACAGAACATAGTGATCTCAGAAGCAAAAACTAAACATCTGTTTTAGGATTTTTGATCTCTTCAGACTACATTTACACCCAAATTTTATTCCCCCCTTAACATGAAACAATTTCTCGATGCAGGTCCGGCCATGTTGAGCAAGGTCCCATTCATATACTAGTATAGTACCACAAATATATGTTCCACCATACCGCGTCCTTGATGTGTTTATTACTGATATATAATCCCTTTCCCTCTGCTAAGTGAATCAGCAAAAAATGGCTAATTGTGAACATAAATAACGAACTTGTTTAACAGCAATAAATCAAGAAATCCCCCAGCACTTGGTACGAAGGGGAGATTGAGTATCGTCTTCTGAAGTTCATGGTTTGGCCGGTGGTTGACCTTAGCGTACCTGGCAATCAGCGACGGGAAGCGTCCGCAGGCGCTGGTTGCGCGCGTCCATGAGACCATAACCAGGCCGGGACCGCGCCGGAGTAGAGGTCATCCCTCTCCAGCCGCCACCCGGCCCTCGCTTGCTTCTTGCTGGCGTAGTGGCGTGCGCCGCCGCCGCCGCGGCCTCGCCGGTAAACCATCCCACGCCGCCGCCATCGGTGCTACTGCAGCACTGTGGTGACACCGCCTATGGGCCCTTGCACACAGTTGGGCTGAGATTTTGTATCGAGTTCGATTGGGCTCAGATTAATAGATGGATTGGCCGAGAATCATATCTGAAAATTGGTTGGCCGCGTCTGTAATATTTTCTTGAGAAAAGGCCTCGTACCAGGATCCCTGTGCATGGGCAGCCCGACCCGATGACCCAGGCTCGGCCCTTCATTTGCAGCCCCAGAGTTGTCTCAAAAAAAAATTGCAGCCCCACAGAATTTGGGTTGAGGCTCAGGCTTCGATATTTAGCCCAAAGTAAGCCCGGCCGGCCCGAACAACATTCGTTGTGAGATCTGAAACACGCTTGACCCCGAGCAAACTCTCGTGAACTACGGCCGTACAAACAACCTTTCAATCATTCCCACCCTCTCCTCCTAACTTGGGTTACTTCGGGGGTCGTACAAAACTCTAGCAACACTTTCTCTAAGCCCGTCTCTTCTTCATCTGCGGCCCTTTCACTCCATGCCTCCAGCGCTTTCTTACCCCAGACAATCGTCACCATGCACGGCAGTGCTCATTATGGCATCAGCCACGAGTCGACGACGTCCTTCCACATGAGATCCAGGCGAGGAGGAAGCGCACACCCGCACCAGATCCAGCGAGGATGTGCTCTCGCATTCAGCATCCCCACTACGACGCTCCTGCAACCTCCTTCCTCGTGACGGCGACCTCATAATAGCATGCGCTGGGCGCTGCCCCGACCCTCATGGTGCTCCATGCACATACGACTTCGCCTGAGACGTGCTCCTAAGACATTCAGCCTTTCCTTGCGGTGCTCCATCGACAACGTTCACCTTGGTCAACCGCATACAGGAGGTCACCGTCGCTGCCCATCACCAACATCAGCTGGCCTAGTAATTCTGCCGTGCACCATTGATGTCTCATAGAAAACAACAGCGCAAGATCTATTCATGCGTCCTCAACACATCCAACACACGCATGTGCAGTTCTTAGTTTTCGTTGAATCTGATGCGTATATGCCAAACCGGTTTTTTTATTATAGATAAATTCCCCTAACTTGCATTCGTGAAAATTGCTATTTTTAAAAATTTAGTTGATAGAAAATGTGTTTTGTGTCTGTATTGAGATAATTTTGACTTCTTTAGTTCATTGTTAATTGCTCAATGTGCATTGTATCTCAGGCTTCCGCGTTGGGCTCGATCTCCGGGTTTTTTTGCCAGGCCGGGTTCGGGCTTAAGGGATGAGTTGCCTTCATGCTTCGGGCGAGGCTCGTGCTTGTATTTTGACTTTTGAAGGTCAGGCTTTTGCAAGCCTGACCCGGCCCGACAAATGCCCATATTTACCTAGGTACCTCTATTTCTCGCATGCTGTGAGTGGAGCTTTGCCTTATACACGGGGCACATGGGGCAGCCCAACAACATAGTACTGAGTGTGACGTTTGTTGATTCCGCTGGTTTGCTTTGTTTCTTTTCTCTTTTGGTTTTTTTACTTCTTTTATATTTTAAAATGTTTTAAATATAACTATATTTCATGAATTGCTTTGATTTTTAAAAAATATACTCGATGAACTAAAATTATTCATAAAATGCAAAAATTGTCCGTGCAGTTTTAAAAACTTTATACCATTCAAAAATATGTTCACGTCATTTCATAAATATTCATGACATGTAAAAATTTGTTTGGGTAGTTATATTGAAATGCTCACAAGTTTATAAATATGTTCATGAATTTATCGTAAAATTTATGAAATGCAAATTTTAGTTTACTTAATTGTTAAAAAGCTTAATACCATTCGAAAAAGTGCTCATGACATTTATAAAATGTTTACACAGTTAAATGTACGGTTGTCCTTCGTGGCGTTGAACGTGGCATCACGCATAGACTTTCGCCTACCGCCGGTGCCAAATCAACGACTAACTCTACAAGATCGAGCTGGCCAAGCCCAACCGCACCACCTGTTCCCTCGCCGAAAAGGGCAATGGGCGGGCGGCATGGGCCGGAGTCCACGCCCAACCGTTGCTGCTAGCTGGATGTAGTCGATCGTCTACAAAAGGGAAACGGTTGCCGCGCAAGCACACAACGACGGGCAATTAGGGCTACCACAACCACTGGATGACGAAGGTGCCAACGACCTTGGAGGCCATGCCTATGAGGTCACCGTTAGGTACCTCATTTAGTTTAGTTTAGATTTAAATTTCATTATTTGGTTGTAAATACATCAAAATTTACAAACACAAGCATATCGTCTTGAGATTTTATGAAGTTATTGTAGACGTCCCGTAGTTGATGAAAATGTGCGACACTGAGACTTACCCTGATGTGCCAAGGTCTTTCTAACCATTCAACTAGCAGACTGGTTCGTGTGTTTTTTCTGATTTAAAAGGTTGATGCATAGTGAAGATGCCCTAGAGTTTTTTGATTTTCTTTGAGGCAAGATGCCCTGGATAGGGGGGTTTGCCCAGAACACGCCCACCGCAATGAAACCTGGGCCGAACCGACAGCGAAGGGCTGCTCATCAGGATGTGATTCGTCGGCTCGTTGCGTGCCCAATTTCCCTAGCCCAGCCTCCACCGCCTATCCACCACCACGTCGACGCTCCCCCAACCCCAAGGCCGCAAACCCTCCCCGTCTCGTCTCCGCAGAGCCATTCTCCCCAAATCGCCCCTCCGCAGAAACGGGAGCAGCGCGGCGGCACCCCTGAACCCTACCTCTCCCCACCAT